TTTTGCTGATCTACGTCAATTATACACACGCTGAAAATTTCATCGAAATCGGTCAATGTTGCTATGAGCTACAAACGGTTAAAGATTGTGAAAATCGCACTATGAACTCATATGATCGGCCCCCGGCAAATGTCGCGCGGTCCGCGGGGAAAGTGAGGAGAAAAATAGAAGACGTCGCAGCGTCCACGAATTAATCTGCTTCGACGGAAGTGGGTCAGTGTGTCAATCCTGTCCTTTCCAGGCAATCCGAAACGCCTGATGTTACGGCCGGGTCGGTGAACTCATATGATCGGCCCTCGCCAAACGATAGAAACAATAGACATCGACAACAATACACGTCGAACGCTGCGACGTCTTCTGTTTTCTTCCTCACTTTCCCCGCGGACCGCGCGACATTTGCCGAGGACCGATCATACGAGTTCATAGTGCGATTTTCACAGTCTTCAACCGTTTGTAGCTCATAGCAACATTAACCGATTTCGATGAAATTTTCAGAGTGTGTATTCTTTGTTTAGAACTGTAGCTTACATATGTGAAATTCGATAAAAATAGTCGATTTTATAAAAAAAACTTGCAAAACGTTAATTTTTAACATATTTTTTAAATAAACAAATTTTTCAAAAGTCTGCTTACGCCACATTAATGGCCTTCTAAAACAGCAAAATTTGCATTTCGAATTTCTTACCTACGGCTAATAGTTTCCGAGATATTTGTGAAAGTAACTTTTTCAACCCCAAATTTAAGGGTTGTTTTCACCCCTTCAGAGTGGATATTCGCACATAAAAGAAAATACGTGTCAAATATTTTTTCAAGTTCTACAACATGTAAAAGTTTCATCGAAATCGGCGTGTAACGTTTGGGTGATGTCCCTTATCAGTATTTCTCTGATGTTTGTTTTTAAGTGTGCACACTTAAGATAACTCTTATTAATAATAAGTTTGAATTTGTAGTTTTCAAGGAAAATGAAATGATTTGAGTAAAACACAGAGATAAATGAAAATTGTGCGAATCGTTAATCTTTTGCACCTGGAATTTTTGACATTGCGGCTTGTTTATAGAATTTAATCCGTACCTTTTAATCTGCATTTAATGTTCGACAATTTTCTGGTTAATCAGATTTCATTTTATATTTCCAGTGAAATTTGTCGAATAACAAAGCTTCCAAAATTATCCTCAGATCTCTGAGATTACGTTTTCGCAGGTGTAAGATTAAGAATAGAATTACGGCTAATAAAAAAGTAAGCTGATTGTTGACAATTCTATTGTTGCATTCAAGTGGCGTTTAACAAACATGAGCAAAACAAACCGAATTAATCTTAAATAACGCCAGATGCCGGAAATAATCTTAATTTCAGACGGCGCGGGGCGGCGGGAAAAACGGAGGGGCAAAGTATCGCAATCAATAATGCATGAAACGATCGTGTGCCCGTTTCTAATCGAAATGTCGCGTTCGGCCCACAACATACATCTCCCTCGAAAATACGGGCTTATCTTCGTCGAACGATCGTTCGTAAGGTCGAAGACAAAATTGCCAACGACAACCGAGAAATTTCCTCGTAAAAATTTCTCGGGTTAACGCACAACCTGTTAATTTCGTCTCGCAGTTTACTCAGCGTTCGTCTTCCCGTGAATTAATTCCCGCGACTTCTTTCGTCTCGTCGCCGCCTGTTTTTAATGGAATTTTTAATCGAACCCTCCTTTCTTCCAGAAGTAGATATGAATTTTTCTAGACGTGACCGACCTCGTGAATTTTGTAAATTTGAAACGGAGGGAAATTAAATACCCATCTGGAGGAAAATGGGAAATTAATGTAGAATAAGTTCAGCTATAAATAGGAAAAAATTGATGCAATTGTAAATGGACGATTAGAAATAAATGAATGTGTGCAATTACGGAACTGTCTTACTTTATCTGATCTCCTTTAAACTTACACTTATACACGTTTTCGTAGTATTCGATCGATGGCACGCCTAGAATTTCCAGCTACGACTTACCGTTCATCGGTTCACAATTATCGAACAGCAAATATTGCGTATTTGAGGTTATCCACGGTGGACCATGGGTACGGGAAATTCACCTTGACCTCGTCTCGCCGCAACGACTTTTTTCCCTTGAGCTATTTTTGCTAATATACGCCACTATTTTTTATTAAGTTCGTATCTCGGGAGACACCGGTCCGAGACGCCGCGCCGCAGTTTAGCCTCCCTCCGCGAAGGTATAGTCGGTGGAAGAAATATTGCGCGGTCGTAAAGTCGATCGGGCATCGAAGTGCATATAACTCGAGCGTTAAAGCACCAGTTTGGGGAAGATATGGAGCGCGAGCCTCGTTTATGGCCGTTTAAGTGTCAACTCGGAATTGGTGCTTTCGCTGCAATATTTAAAAAATTTTTAATACCTTAAATGTTTAGCTCCTTAAGTAAGTGCCAGAGATTCTGGTGAAGATCTGAGAAAAATAGTTATATTAGCAAGAGAACTTTCGTTTGAATTTGTAAGACCGAGGATTAGTAAATGTAATTAATCTGTAACAGATTAGCTTTTGTTACCTGACGCAGTACTAGAAAATGGCTGACGCTTAGATGTATAGTCGGAAAAAATTCATAGGTTAAATACGGTATTTGAGAAATTTGTGTGCGCCGTAAGCCGCAGATTAATTTTTATCAATACGGTAAAGTTGGTGGAAGAGATATAGCGAGGTCGTAAATTTTCACATTAGGCGAAAATATCGATTGTCCTAGTTGCACGCGGTATCGTGTGCGTCTTATGGGAATGCCCTAAATCTTGAGTCGCACGCTTCGAGCAAAAAATGAACCACTTAGAAACCAAAGTGACTAACTCCGTCAAATTAAATTTATTAAATCTTTTTTATTTATGAAGAGTATTTATGAAGAGTTAGCTTTGATACTAAATTTGGAAGAATTTCAAAAAGTGGAGTTAATCATTTTGGCTTCTGAATGGCTCAAATGTGAATCCTCGAACTGCCAAGAACGCATCCAGCATTTTCTCTCTTTCAGTTACATTGTTAAATATACTCTAATGGGAAGACTGGTACCAAGTTAACTTCGTACAGCCCTGAACGTAGCTCGAGCTCCCTATCTCATCCAAACTGACGTTTCTACTATCGAATTTCATGTTACTCCACGCCCGTCTGATTTCAGAAATTCAAATATCAATTCACAAAAAACAGAGCCCCGAGTGCAGCTGCACCAATCAATACCAATAAAATACCCAATAACTCCTCCATCTTGCAACATTTTCACTTTCTAAAATTTCCAGGGGAAAGCTGAAGCTCACATTTACATCCTCCAAAAACATTTTACCTCTTCACGTAATAGTTACCCCTAAAAAAAAATTCTCAAAATTCTTAACGCTTTAATTCACAATCTCACATCGATTCCACCAACTATACCATCTCCTTCCTCCGCGACGAGGCGCGTGGCTACGACTCGCGAAGGGAACAATCGACCACCAATGAATGCAATCGTGAATACGTAAAATTATTATTTCCTCTGGCAACAACGATACGTTGAAGCTTTTATTACACCCGAGCAAAGTCTAAAGTCTCGGAAGGTACTTTACATATATCGTTGCTCGTCGAAAAAGCCTGTACCCATGTTACGTGTTGTAAAGGCTCGAATCGTACGATCGGGTGCGAAGTCAAGTTTATCATAATCACAGTGACATGGTAAAGTTGAGTCACGTGTTTGGTAATTCTCTTCAATTGGTCATTCTACATTCAGCAACTGGTATCAAACGATGCTCGTATAGGTAATGGCGCTTAGGATACAATGATACCACGCGACAGATTTATAGCGATTGCGTGGACTGAATATATTTCTTCACTGTGACAGTTTCTTCTTCTTTTTTTTGTTTTTTATTACATCCACTATACGCCTGTTAAAGGTCTATATATAAATTATTTGCTCTGAAGATCGGTCGTTCTTTTTTCTCTCACTCTTTTCTGCTCTTATTGGAATATCAGAGACCCAGTTTATTGTATCACGAGCCGGTGACTTTTAAACGTTTTATAAGCAACTTCTCGTATTATCCAGCTTTTAGAATTGAATACTCGAGAGGTTTTATAACCTTTACCACCGGCAATTGTCATACTGCCGACACTTTCTCGTTATTCTCTGCCCGTTGACTGTGTCTGACCCTGGCTGGTCAATCTACTCGCCCCCGATTGTACTGCAGTATTAAAACTTTTCGCATAGTCGTATTGCCTCTTTGTATACGAAACTTTGCATTCCTGTTGGAACGTTTCACTTGGGAATTTCATTGTATCTGTCGATAGTTAAATCACGGATTTTTTGACTACTCTTCTTCTTTTTTTTGCATTTCAGTTGATTCTATTTTATAGTTGCTTCTTCGTTGTTATTGTTTTTTATACGCGAAATCAGTGAGAATGTATAATAGCTGATTAATCATTTTATTACTATAGGCGTTTTGAAAATTTGGAGCCTTTTGGTACACTTCCACCTTAATTTAATACTTAATTTTATCCTTTACACATGTCCACCTTAATTTAATAAGCTGAATTTTGATACTTTTTCATTTCAAAACGGGCAAAATAACAAATTTTGCAGCCGTGGTTAAAATCTACCGAATGGGTTAAGAGAACGAAGTAAAAACAACGAGAAAACCCCTCGATTCAACAAACCAAACTCTTCATTAATCCCACGAGACCTCTCATTACCACATCATCCTCGTATTCGAGCAACCGTGTAGCCTCATTACCCGCGCTCTCAGTTATCAAGTGCTCTAGCTCTATTCCATACACTTATCGTGTACACTCTCAGCGCGTTGAAAGTTCGTTTGCACTCGACAAGTTCGTTCACCCTTTTTTCCCCGGCGAGGAAGAAAAAAGGAGAAAAAGAAAAATCCACAGATGCGATTCTAATTACATTTATTTCAATAGATTCTCGATACAATTAGTCATCGATGCATTATCAACATCCAATATCTCGTCAATCAGTCAAACATATAATTTAAAGCAGATACGTAAGATTAAAGTGAGATTAAGTTAAAAATAAGCGTCGGAATAAATAATCGTGTTAAATACATCTGGTACGATTCGAGGTCGTTATTAATATTGGGGCGCGATTTCGTCGTCGACGGGCTCGTCGACGTCGCGTCTGAATCTGTAGCCACCGGAAATGCCAAAAGTGGGCGATGGTCCGCCACCAGGTCTGCGTTGAACTTGACCGAAACCCCCGATAAAGCCGTCCTTGAAGTTACGCTGGAGCTGGATGCCGGCATGGGGCTGTGGTGGCTGTCCTGGACGAATGTTCAGTCCTCCGTAGGTGTTCGCGGTCATTCCATTTCTGTCCAAGACACGTTGATGGTAGTCGACGTCCAAGGATGGACGACGATCCGGACCGCTCATTGGTTTCTCGCCGTGGATCACGAGGGATCCTCGATCCTGTCGTCGGACACGTGGAGAACCCTGGGAAAGAAAGATCGATTCACGGTTAATGAAGGGGAGCTGGAGATTCTTGCTGCAAAGTGTTCGATCAAATGGGCGGAGATGTTTGGTATTAAGAGCTGTGTAAGTGAAGGTTGTCTCTTGGGTTGATTGTTGTCCGCTGAGAATGTAGAGATTAATAAAGGAGTCGCGGAACGTTGGGCAATTATTAGAGGTGATAAAAATTGATCGTGGGTAATTGGTGAATTTGCTTTTCGAACTTCGGGGTGAGTTGGATTTGTAGATGTACACTGGGTATAAAGTTTGAGAATTACAGTCAGTGTAGAAAGCTTGCAGAGCAGGTGAATGAAAAGTTTGTAGAATTTTGTTTGTTAATGAAATTTTGTCAATTAGAGGATTTCTGTATTTTATTAGAAATCTCTGAATTTGAATTTTTAGTACATTTTTTATTACACAAATTTACTAAGTTTAAGGAAATTGATATAGATTCGCGTAATATTAATTGCAAATTCGTAAAAAAATTGGTAGCAAATTTAATACTGTATGTTAATAAGGGGTTCTAAATTTTTGGTCGTTAATGCATGAGGGTACTTGTCCACATGAGAGTTTTTCACGGTAATTGCTCTCGAGAGTACTCTCCAATTGAGTGTCCAGCTCTCCGCCAGTAACGTACTCGCAATAGACTGATAAACTTCACTCTCGAGAGTAATTCTCGACAGTTTTACTCTCAAATGGACACTTATTCTAAGACCAAAAAATTTTCATTTCATAAATTTACGTATATAGTTTTGCAAATTATTAGACTTACAGTGCAACGACTACTTCTTTGACAAAACAAATCTCCAAATTCCACAAAAAATCTCTTGAATGTTCCATAACAATTGATCATTTCTCACTATGTATTCATTTCATTCGAACATTTCAAAGATGATCGAAAAAGGCAGAGTATACTTACATAGTAAGCTTCAGGTTCCAATTGAGCAGCGGCGAACGCTACCGAGCAGAAGAGAGCCAACACGATGAACTTCATTTTTCAAGTTGTTGCTTCGTTTACTTCCAACTGTTGAACACAAGATTTCTAATGCTCTTGAGTAGAGTTGAGTGAGTTGTATGCTTCATTCGGCGAGAGCTTGCCCTTATATACGGTTTTCGCTGTCCAGACGTTTTCCCTGTTTCCTTAGCGATACTTCCATCCGGGGAACCACCGTTGATTTCTTATCCGGATCTGTCTCTATCTCTCCTGGTTCGATTCTTCCAGGCCGCGGGAATTCCTTGCCGCGTGGGTCATCGGGGGTCATAGGTTAGAATGCAGTTAATGCACATTTTCAATTTCATTCAGAGTTTATCGCGTGCTATCGATTGGAATCCGATGATTCAGCAATTGCAATTAAATCGTTCGTGAATTTTCTGTTCCTTTTAGAGACGTTCGTGATCTTTATTTCGGTCTTCTTTTCTTCTCGTTTAGTCTTACAATTAGCATCAATTTTTTGTCGAATTTTTTTTTAAATTAACGATTAACAAAACACCCTTTAACGATATTGTATAAGTTACGCAAATATGACGGAGAAGTTGCAACACGCAAGTTTGTTAAACTTTTTCTCTGTTACATTTGCGATACAGAATTGTGAAATAATAAGATACATTTATAAATAGTTGTACATACAGAGAAGAAAAATTGTATTACATTATATTGTTCATGTTTAACACTTTGATAAATGTTTTTTATTAATATTA